CTGCTGCTACTGCTACTGCGACTACGACTACGACTACGACGACGACTACTACAACTGCTACTATGACTACTAGTACCACGACGACTTCTACTACGACGATGACTGCTAGTGCAACTGATGCCCGAAAGCTAGGGAGAACGCCCCACGAAAGGAAAGCAATATTCGGCTGAGAAATCATAATCAAATAAAGTACATCGCCGGGATGATAGTGTCGTGGCAAATTGAGTGCTTATGGGCTCATAGTACAGAAAACACCGAAAAGTGCATATTCACTGGCATGCTTTACCCGGCTTGGCGGTTCCGAACGGAAGAATTTGGTCCACGAGCTTAAGGGGGAAAGGGGTTTTGGAAAGTGTTCAAGCAAGTCGGACGGACTTTCGTCCTGCCGCAGTAATGATCAACACTCACAGGCTCACAGGTATACTCCTGAAATGGTCCTTGGCATTTCTTCCAGGACTTCTGAAGCCCGCCGTCCGTGAAAAGTGGGAGCGAGACCTTTTCGGGGGCTACTACGACAAAGCGCAGGCCTTCCTGGCAGTTGAAGCCATCTTCGGCTTGCTTCATGTTGTGCTTCCAGGGCTTCCACCGATGCAAGTACGGCGTGCTCAATGCCATGAATGACCATCGCGGAGTGATCCGGTGTGTCCAGTATGGGGACAGCTACCTGGTGCTCAGAGATGTGTCTGCGTCTCAGTTTGCTCGTGCTGGGTTTCGAGCTTCGAGTTCAGGGCCTAGGTTTCCATAGGAAGGGTACTAGTTACGAGTGACAAGTACCGAGCATTTATACTGCATTCTCTGGCAGTGTGCAAGAGTTTTTGCGGGGATTTGCCGCAGAAGATATCGAAGCGATCGCGATAACAGGTACCGCGTAGCGGGCCGAAAGCCTTGTTATGTTATTGCCGATGCTCTTTGCGTTTCTTGCGAAAGGGCTCCGAACAGACAAATGCATCGGGCCAGGAGGACATGCAAAGACTCAGATGCTCGGAATAGTAATAATAGTCGTAGGCAGTACTACCACAGTAACTGCCATAACAACAACACTCTTTACTGTGACTACTGCTGTGATTGCCGTTCTTACTAAAACTTCTCTAGGGGTTATGACTCAGACTTTGTCATTGTTGTTGATATTGTATTTCCATTACTGTTCTGTATTATCCTCAGTACCATTATCATTCGTAGTTGAAGACCTGCATCAGGCGGTTGCGGTGCACCTTCTCTCCGGAGGACTCGGCAAACCTGAAAGCAGAACGTGCGCCTGGGGAAGGGGTGTGGGGGGCCTGGGGTCCGGTGATGTTCAGAATCGCAAGCGTAAGACTTCACCTTCGGGCTTTTTTCGGCTGTCACGCGCTCGCCAACTCCAAATTCCAAAGAGACTGCAGCCAAAAACACCGTCTAAGCTGGACTGCCCCTGCCGCCAGGTCTTGCGGTCCTCGACTACTACGGGCATGTGCCGTGAGCTTGAAGGGTCATTTGTAGGTCGTGCACCCAGCAAAAGTTGGGCCTGGACCCAGCCCTGCCTGGGATTTGAGAAGACAAGACAGTGTTGGAGTTGGACCTTAGCCGGCCCCAGAGCCTAGAAAGAGGTCCTCAAAGAGGTTCTTGAGTGAGTGAGTGTGTGTATAATATATATATATATATATATATATGTATATATGTAAATGTAGACAGTCGCATTTAAGAGTGATACATACACCATGTCATAAATCAACCAATAAGTACATCAGTAATTGCAAGCATTGTCATTACGTCAATAAATGCAAATATAGATATAGAGACAAGCAAATATGGCAATGAACAAGGAAACGTGGTTTAATATACGAAAATGTATGCATGTATGTATGCATGTATGTTTGTATGCATGCATGTATGCATGGATGTACATGCAGTACGTGTTAAACCCACCGAATGAACTATTGACTCTCGTTTTGTATCGTAAATACCGTGTCAAGCCAGCTATGCGTTCTGACAGGTCTTAATTTGTTTCCATTCTGTCATAGAATACCAAAACCCATTCCGACTTTCAGGGAGCCATGACATAGAACTCGCCAGGCAACTCGCTCAGTTTCGACGTGAGCAGAGACTAACTGTCCTTCGCGAAAACCAATGCAACCAACAAGACATTTTTATGCGAAAGACGTCCCTCTTGGAAAAGTTGGTACTTCTGCCAAAGCCCAGCATTTGCCTAGGACAAAGGAGGTTTTTGTGAAAAAATGGGTTTTGATGAGCCAATTTTTTCCAGGAAAACAAAAAGGCCAACAACAAAAATTGTGGGGACCTCTGTTTGGTGGAATGCTCGTGGGCATTTGTAAAGTGATGGCTGTATCGTCGCACGTATGTCGCTCATCGAAACTCCAATATCGGATGATTTCGTCTCAGCGGATAGCATGTACGTGGTATTCAGGTTTTGTCACTAGTTAATGATCATCTGCAAACTCTCTGAAAACATGGTTAAAGTTATGGGCGAGTCTTCTATTCATAACAACACGCCAGCATCGTTTCAGCAAGTGCTAGAGCAATATGGCTGGTTGTTCAACGAAGTTTAGCTACGGAATAGTTCTTGCAAGACAAGGAGTATTTCTTTCAGCCCTAACCAAACTGTGATTTCATGTTCAGAATATTTCATCCGAATATGTCACGACTAATGTCTACACAATCTAACACGTATGCTAGCATGGCATTTCATGGCTCAGTCGCTATTGAATACTTCGTTTGCGTGTACGTGTTTCTGGGTTGCTTCTATCTGGAAATAAGCCGTGGTAACTACTGAAGAAAGAACTTGCACAGGACTGCTACGGCGTGGTTGATTTTCTGTCTCTTTTGATTAGCCATTCCAGTATGAACGAATGTTGGATTCAATGAGCAGTATCTGTATGCTGCCTATGGTGTGGCTTGAGCAGGAAGGCAGAGCAACATGAAACATACAGCAAAGAGTATTAACCTTATAGTAACTCAGCATGGGTTGCAGCACAGGAGCGCGATCCTCGTGACAATTGCATGTTTAATAGCCTCATGTCGGAGTCGTGGTTGGAAAGTGGCCACTGTTACAAGGATCGGGTGTGTGTGGGACGACATCCTCGTGACGGTTGACGGTTTTGGAGCCGCCATGTGGGAGAAGTGTGCAAAGTCACAGGGATGCGGCATGTTTGGACTCAGGTGTGCGGCGAGGTGGGGGAGTCGACACACCCGGAACCGGGATCATACACGTATAAATAAATAAATATAAATATAAATATATATATATATATATACACACATATATTTATATTTATATGTATGTATGTATGTATGTATGTATGTATGTATGTATGTATGTATGTGTATACATACATATGTATATGAAGTATGTATATATGTGTATATATATATATATACATATACATATATATGTGTGTGTGTGCGTGTGTGCATGTGTGAGTGGACTTAAATTTTTCTTTACATACATACATACATACATACATACATACATACATGCGTACATGCATAAACCTTTGCATCCATACATACACACACATCAATGTGTATATATATAT